ACCGCTCTGCTAACGAAGTCCCTGAACCTCTGAGAGAGGCCAGTACCCAGCTTCCAAGAAAAACCGAAACGCTAGACTGATTTGCATGGAAGTGAGCACTTAAATACTTGAAGTACGTATTTGCAAACAAATCTTTTCTTTAATGTTTTTGGTATGTGGACCATGATGCTTTCCTTTAAATAATGGCTGCTATACTGTTAGAATGCATGCAATCCACAAGTCACGGCGACTTTCAAGGCAAAATGAATTCTTGACTTCGAAGGAATGAGACTGTGGAGAGCTGTTGTGTATTTGTACTTCCACTGTTCTGTGGTGTAAATTATACTGTATTCAGAGGCCTAGCTGGGGGATCAGGACGCAGAAAAGCTATGGAGATTTCCCCTATCATAGCTGGAGTGCAGGCAGCTGGATTTTAAAGCTTGTAGTCTTGTAAATCCTAGACAAACTCCTTCCTTGGACTTGTCCTGAGCTGCAGGTATGATTTGTTGGGTTTCACCTGACCCTTTGGTAGTTGTGTGGCTGCATCACTGATGAAAATTGGTCTCCACTCGGGCAGCGTGCCGCTCCCCTGTAGAGATCACCTTTTTTGTATGTTAATATGCTTTTCTTGATGGGACGACTGTGTGTAACTTGTGCAATCTAGTGCTATCTGTAGTAACGTGTTTCTCTGACTCAGAGCTGGCAGCACAAGATGGCCCTCGGCTCCTGCCACAGGGGGGGGTGCCTTCACGCTGAAAGCCGCTCTTCTCGCGCCGGCTGCCGGGTTCTGAATTTCTGCAGCAGGCTGCTGTGCACGCGCCGTGCCGTTGCGGAGGGTGGGCCCGCCTGTCCGGACCGAGGGAGCTTGGTAGCACTGGCTGACACAGAACCCTACCCATACATCCAAACCACCCCCTTCTCTCTGCAGATACGATATCCAGACGGCAGAGCCGTCAGCTTTAGTGCTAGTTACAGAATTCTAAACCTAATGCGAGCTTCGCGGCGTGATTTTATGAGCCTTCCCCCTACAGAGGCTTACTCAGCCGGCAGTGAGTGAGGTGGGGCGTACATCCGTCGGGTACAGCTTGCTGCTTAACTCTTTGGCTCAAGTTTCTCGGATCTCTGGAAAATCTCCCTTCTCTCCAAACATACCAACAGCTTTTCCAAGCTAATCTTGCCTCCATTATAAGTAGCTGACACTGACCGGTGGTTATTTGCTGAAACAGAAATTACAATGAGGAAAAAGATGCTTCGTATGAAAAAAAAAAAAAAAGAAAGGCTTAGTTATACGAAACTATTAATTATACCAAATGAAAGAATCTTGGCTAATAGGAGTGCTAGGTGTCTGACCCCTTATTTACACAAATTAAAACACATCTTCCTGCTGCCTGAAATTAGCTCATTCATGAAACAAGCAACCTGTGCCTCCAGTCGCAGGCTCAAGCTAATCAAGCGGCCGATTTTCAGCAGCGTGGCAGTGGCTGCCTGCCTTCTCTTGCCCAGTAATTACCAAAAGCAGGGCAGGCGCTCACTGCCTGCTCTCTGTTGCGTTTATTAGGTGTGAAATAGTCCCAGCAGTCAGCACCGTCGCTTCTGGTTTTCCCTCGTAGTCGGGGCTGCCGTGTTCATCGCCGGCGGC